GGGGGGGGGGGGGGAGAGGCAGGGCACAAATGTTATGAGATGTCAGTCAGAAAAGACAGGTACAAACCAAAACTGCTCTTTCCAAAAAGAAAGAATCTTCATGTGTTCACGTTCACAAATCAGCCACTTCCATTAAAGTCATTTTTCTCCATTTCTATGTGTTTTTTCTATTGCTCATTCATAAGGGAATAAAATTCAGCAACTGGCAACAATGAAACCAAGTGATGAATGCTTTAAAGTTCCTATATGACTCATCAGCTTTATGACAGCTACTACATGTTAATTTATACTAACAGGCATGTTGTTTATATACAAGTATTCCTAAAGCAGCAATTCTTACCTAAATGTAAACGAAGACTTAACAGAAGGACCAAAAATGTTAAAGCTCCTTCCAACATGGACCTTTCATGCTCTGAATCAAGAACTGTATTTTGATGCTGTGATGCCATCGTTAACAGATCTACCACCTTAAACCTGGACAGCAAGGAGTAAAACCAGAAGCATCATTCTCTAATAGTAAAATACCAGTATGAAAAGTACTGGTAAATTCAGTGCATTACATGCATTTTATTTTGTATTCAACAAAGCACAAACATACGTGAAAACCCTCTTATTTTTCAATTTGGATTTTTATTTACCTAGCTATTCAATATGCTACAGTGGTATTTACTTTACATGGAAACACCCTACATTTAGTAACATATAAAAAACTAATGCAAATAAATCTGCTTTCATCCCGATTTTATTCTATCCAGAAAACCAAGCATTCTTTCTATGTCTCTTACTACTGCAGCTCTATTTGTCTACTTTTTCAGTCTACCATATCCTGAAAGCTTGCACATGAACATGTGCAAAGCAGAAAAAACCCTGAAGATGGTCAGAAAACATTATATGAAGGTTCACTACTGCACTGTAAAACAAAAGTCAATCCTTCATAACATCAGCAATAAACCTTGATGTACCTAGAGCCCCTCAGGAAAGTGCCAATTTTGGCCAGGCACAGTTGTACCACTGAAGGTGTGTAACAGATACACACAGTTTCTGGCATGAATCGGTCAACAGCCCACACAACATTGAACAAGAGCATTCATCACTTAATCCTACCTTTCAAAAACAGATGAAATAAAATAATCTGGGTCCAGCCTAGAGGCACAGACCTGGAGAAAGAGAATAAATTAATCTCATTTGGTAGTTTGTTTGTAAACAAGCATTGGCTTGGTTTCTTAGAAAACAGAACTTACTTGCAACAGATAAATGTCAGGATCAATCATTGAATTGCAGAAATGAGACTGCACATAAGTCATGGCCTGTCCTTTAATTTGTAGACCATTTCTAACCCACATGTTGCTGTGAATTTCAGAAAGACTTGCCTGCTCATGTAAAATAAAAAAAAAAAAAGTACAAATATTTCAGCTATTCAGTTCAAAATTATCAGATCATCAATATATTTTCACACATATGTATACATACACACTACACCTTAACATAAAAGTATACTTTATTATACTAATTTATTTCTCTGGGGGAGTGAGGGATGAAAAGGAACCACTACAAGGTTATTAAACAGACACCATTAGTTTCATAGGAGAATATCTAAGAGGTAACTCAGTAATTAAATAAATCACTTAAATGATTTTATGTACTTATTAAAATATTGAGAAGTACTACAAAGGTGAAGACACCATGGTTAAAGTTAGATATAAAAGCAGCAACTACAAATACTGCTGACTACTACTTAAATACAAAAAAAATACAATTTTGTAAATTAAAAAATGTTGCAGGGTATATCCATTCTTGAACTCATTCTCAATTTAAAATTTCAGATTCAGGTTCCTTTCTCAATGTGTACTCCATTGGTAGCTATTCTATGAACATGCAATTCCATATTTTCAAACGGCTGGTTTCTCCTACTCTTCTGACAGTACTATAGTGAATATTATCATCATACTTCTCCAAGTACAATAACTAATGCTGCATATTTAATTTTGGAAATAGGAAGAAAAAAAAAAGTTCATCTTAACTACTATTATCCTAGTTGTTATTGTTACATATTGCTTATTTGGTTATTCCACACTTACGACATACTCCCCCTTATTAAGCACTTCTAAATACATTTTAATGTTTGGGGTTGGAAGGATCAGACAACTTTTTTGTGTTGTATTTCTCCTCCTATGCATCAGAGTCAGAACTCTGCCCATACCTGAATCTGAAGTGGGTGAATCATTAGTTTCATCAGCATTTCCTGATCTGGCAAGATAGTATCGAGATCTAGTTCTTGGCATTTGACAGCCTAGAAACAAAAACAAGCACACCCTGTACTGAACAATTACACTTGACATAGAAAATTTCCAGTTTCTGTGTGACTAAAACGTGCACTTACCTTACTTAAAAACATGGCAAAGTAACGGTGCAGTGGCAAATGAAAAGTAACTTGGTTAGGAGCTGGCTGAAAGTAAGATAAAGGTATTTTAATATAATATATTAAAAAGAACAAACCTACAAATGACTTTGTCACAACCACTAAGAACAGTATCTTACATGTCTTAATTTGATGGATTTACTTTCCACTACCCTACTACTACTTAATTTCCCTGCACTTCCTTATGATTCAGAAATTTCCCTTATTCAGACACTGTAGTTAAGCTCTTACTAAGCCCCCAGTAGCTAATGACACTGAATTGATTGAGAGTATTGCTTTCTAAGGTGGCAGTAGGTAGAGGGTGCTCTCCTCTACCATATCAGAACAATTCTGCTTTGTCATTGCTTCAACACTCTATTTAGCAGGAGTATATCTACAGTACTGTTTTTAAGATTCAAACAGCTTAAGATTGCACCAGCAAATCTAAATGAAGATTTTATAAATAAAGGATCTTAGGACATAACATTGCAACTAATAACAACACACTCAAATTTCAGCATGGCAACTCTTTCAGTCAGCAGCTAGAAGGATTATTTAACTGGGGGGAGAGGAGGTTGTATAATTGTTGAAGTTTCATCAGATTTTCACAGTATATTTACCTCATCTACAAAGTTGATTGCATCAAACCAGTCCTGAAGTGCTTCAAGGCAGTATCTGACAACATTTCTTGTGTACTCCTGTGTTTCCTGCAGTTAGAGAAACCAGTGTACTACACTAGTCAAAACAGTTTAAAGTTTACTCTACACTTTACTCTACTTAGAGGATCATGAGATAACAGAACCTATGAGGCTTTGAGCTCAGGTTGTTAACAGAACAACACAAAACCATAAATTACACCACCCCCCATCACAATGAAGTGCCATTTGCACACACCATCAACATTATAATCACATCAGGTATGACTTCTTTATCTCTTTTCCCACTGGAAAAAGGTAGAATGATTCAGATACATGTATCAAGTTCTTCATCAGACTTGAAGTTGTTCCATATGTGCTATCATATGAAATAACTTCATACGGAATGACTGTACATATTGAGAACTTGTAGTCCCAGTTCTGAAAGTAACAAAGAAGGTACTATCATGAATTCTATTCTTACGATACATAGAATCTGAGTTGATCAGTTTTTTATATTTTGTTGATAAAGACAGAAAAAACCAAGTCTTTCCAAGCACAAACCAGACAGACTTCTCAGATTTGAGAACTCAAGAATAAATCATGAATAAAAGCAAGAAAAAAGACAGAGAAATGTTAGTCTTACCCTGACTTTGCAGTGTGACAGAAGACCCCACATTGGCTGGGCACAGGCTTCCAGCTCAGCAGCAAAGGCAGCATAATAAGTCTGTGATTCAAACTCCACATGTTCATTTAATTCTCGTTTATTTAAATTCATACCTTCAAAGATTTAAGTAGAGTTATACAACCAAATATTTAACTAGGGCTAAATAGAATGCAGTAGTTTTAGTGTTATGCACTCACACACTGATTAAGACCAAAAAAACCCCCACAAAGTGTAACAATCTATCTCATCTAGCAGCAGAATAATAGATAAAATATAAGAACAAGCAACAGAGTTTGAACAGAAGTACATCAAAAAGGAACAATAGCTTTAGACTGGCTAGTAACTGCAGTCCTTGCTGTTCAGGTGACATTAACATGGACAGCAGCCCTTCTAATTTAAACCTCACTTACTACATGGGAACATTTGGATGGAAAATACCTGGTCCTCTTTCTAGGCAGAACATTTACCAGTACTGAAAAGTTCACAATTTTAAAATATCTTTTTTAACAATAAAAAAAGTTTCTTCACAGCAACACTAAGAAAAAGATCCAGAATTACCAGCTTAGTTTACCCGGTATTTAAATTTACAATTTCACCAGTAAAACACTTCTAGCACTAGTTAGGATTTGTACTTTAAGTTCAACATGAGAGTTCTGGCACCATGATCTCAGTCAAATGTGATGCAATCACTCTTTAACTAGTCCACGCAAATCAAAGATCTGTTAGATCATTTTCAAATGTACGTATTTTGAGAATATACTGCTCTCTTCCAGGAACAGAGACTTATGAGAATATACTGCTCTCTTCCAGGAACAGAGACTTATGAGAATATAATTAAATATTTACATTCAGCAGTGTAAGGATTCTTCTACTGCAAACATTAAACTGTCTTAACATCCCTGCATTAGTACATATTATAAAAGGCACATACCTTGAAAGAATGATACAAAATTCATCCATGTTACCAAAAGACCATGATCATCCAAAAATTTCTTTGCCACACTTTGGTGTGAGAGTATGTTTATAAAATCACTAACCAGGGGCCAATAAGTATTATTCTTCAGCAGTGCTTCCCCACAATTCACCACAACATGTAAACTGTTTTCTTCATCTAGATTTAAAAATAAAAAATAAAGTAATTCTTTTTTTCTTGTTATTGTAATTTTAAAATAAAGTTACAGCATGTTGCAAAAAAACTAATTAGGATTCACTGTAATGTTGTGGTGACAGACAGAGAAAACTGCAGAAAAGAAGAATGGTTGTTTTGTGGTACCTGAGGCTGCAGGAGACACACACACTATGAACAATACTGCAAACTTTGAAAAGCTCTGCATTAGTAAAATTATCACAGCTATGCTTTTTTTTTGAATACTCTAAAGAAGTATTAAGAGACCAAATAAATACAATTCCTATTACGAACATGAAATCTATTTTGAATCTGACACACTTCTAGTGAGCAAACTACCTTACAGAGGCAAACAATCTGGTTCTTAAAACCTGCACTGGCATCTTGAGCCTGAGAAAGGGAGCAGAGAAAGCTTTTTCCCTCTGAAGCAAGGGGGGTGGGGTGTGTGTGTGTTCCCCTCACCAAATCATAGAAGTACATCCTCTAAGGATGTCAAAATAAATATCTTTACTGGCTTTTCATGAGAGGGACCCCTAGAAAGACTAGAAGGAAAATGGGATTGGTCCTGGAGTCCCAATTCAAAGTAAGCAACTTCCAGGACCCATCCGTCAGTTGCTATTCTATTTCAAGCAAACAGAACCAAGATCTTGCATCTTATGATAAGCCTTGGGGAATGGCTGCTGTCCTATTCAGGGTCACAAGCAGTATGGCACAGCCACAGCTGAAAAGACATTGTTATTAGTACATCCTGTCTACACTTGATGAGGCACATCTGCATCCATAGTTGTTCCCTTTGGTATATATGCAAGTTGTTCTCCCTCTCCTCTGTCATAAGTACTGAAGAAAATATTATTTAATTTACTCTGAGGTTGTTTATTTTGTTGGTTTACTGGTACCAGGAAAAAAATAACAAATTACTCTCTTGCCTGTTATGTCAACAGGATTTTTTTTTAACTTGAAGTCATACGATATTTTGATCCTGACAAGTTTTACTTCCTGAGAATACAGTTCAGTCAGAAAAATGAATCAGAATTCATCCTGGAAAATATGCTGCTCGAGTTGCACACAACTATGAATAAACACCTTCTTGTTACCATAATTTAATATAGAGCTCCATTTCCTAAGACTGACTCCTATCTCTTACACTAAAGCCCTGGAAGGCACAGAAAGCCAGAAGAGCTCTGTGCAGCCTCTCAAGACTTCACTGCAACAGTAGGTCACTCTAATCTCTCTTCTGCTTCCAGTACATCTGCAAAGAAAGGAAACTATGTCTTGTTACTCAGCTGCCTGGTTCCCATGTGCTCACAAAGCCTATCCAAGAACAGGCTCTGTCTGAACTCTCTGAAGGACTCTGAGAAGAGCCAAGAATTACATGTTGCTGGTTCTCTGCCCCAGAACAAATCAAACAAATCGAGTTACTTCAAACTGGCAGTGGTGTTGCCTCTTGTTCACAGTACTCTACAAGCCAGGGTTAATGTAACGTCAGTTGAAGGAAGAGTTGGGTTTTTTTTAAGGGATGAACCATTATCAAATCTTTCTCCTTGATGTACAAATTCTTCTCTCAGGAAAAGAAAGAGGAATGTGCTGATAAAGAGGAAAAAAAAGTCTAAGAGCATTGAGACATACATATTCACAAGAAGGCAATTTTATCATCTGCAACCATATTGTACCTCCTCATCCTTTCATACCTCATGTAAGAGAGGTAAGCTGAACTAGGAACATTTTCCAAGTTTGTACTAACACAGCTCCTAGGTCAATTCACTTTCAGGAACACTTTGTCATTTGGTATCCACAAACACCCTTAGTAAACTTAATAAACAATTAGAAGTGTGAACAATGCCAACTAAACGTGCCTTAGCTGATTCAATTCCTGCCCCACGTTCTCCTTCCTCCTATTCAGCAAGTTTTCTTCATTTATCCATTGGCTGGATTTGGAAATTTTGTCCCTTTTCTGATACTAAATGACTTACTTAGCTGCGCTAGCTGCACAAACAGAATTCTTCTCAATTTCTCTCACCAGAACGGACTTCTAACAGACTTCTCACTACTTCCAGTATCGTAAGAGATACCTTGAACTAAACATAAAAGTCCACAGAACTGCAAAATAAGGCTAATGAAAATCTGAGAGGGGAAAAAAACTTCAGTTAAGTTTTTTTATTAATTTGCTTCTGTCAATTTACTGTAGTAAAGCTACAGTAAAAAGCAAAGTAAACTGCAGTGAGAAGGAAGTGCTGTGAAAACACTGAAAAACACTGGACAGATTCCATTACGGAGTCTTAGCTAAGACAAATCAATGGTTCTGGGGAAAGGAAACCAGTAATTTCAAGTCTTGGGATAGCTGCTCCAGTGGTAAACTTTTTCTCACAAATATACCCGATGTTACTTAACTTACCAGCTCCAGCTTACATAATTACCAGAAAGCTTCTGCAGAGAATGTCTAAATCAGTCACAGTCTTTTTCTGTTTGGCAGCAAATTTTGATCCTTATCACCATGCTAGCAACATCCCATACTGGCCATGAAATAAAACCAGCTACTTAAAAGTAGAGTTAAATGAGATTTCATGAATATGGCATTAGTTTAGCAAAAGTCACTTAATATACAAACTGTTAAAGATTCAACATTCTTCTTTGACTACTGTAAAGCAATTTATGTAAGGTACCATATACATTTCTCATGTTGAAGTGCAGCTGAATGAAGACATTCTTAACAGCTATTTGACTGAGGATTTCCCTTTCAGTACAGTAGTCTGTATTAGTCTATACATAGAGTGAACTCAGAGACAAAGGATACTTCAGACAAGAAAAGCTACTATTTCATACAAAAGTTTATGCTACTTATTTGGCAGCAGCAGTCAGCCTGTCTAGAGATCATTTTCAAATTCAAACCAGGATAAAGAGGGCTAAGAGGTCTGCAGTTTGTTAGGTACAGAAATAAAGAGAGATTACATTATTCCATTTCTTCTATCAACAATTTAACCATGGAATGAAACAAACAACCACCAAAACAACCTACCTTGCAATTCACTTTTAATAAGGCAACTTTCCATCATGTACAACAGAACAGTGACCATAATTTCCAGCAGCTGACATTCTTCTGTTACTTGGCGTGCTAGTTCTTCATTGCTGAATAACTGAACACTGATATGCACAATTCTATTAGACATTGTGTCTGATTCATGGCTTTTCTTCAGCGTTTTCATAATAAAAGCATAATGCTGGACAAAAGTTTTGGTAAAAGCAATCTGCAAATTATAAAGAAATTTTGATGTTAACAAGAACCATACAAAAATTATAGGGTTTTTAATTTTAAATACTCCTTTACAAAAGTACACTCAACATATCCTACCAAAAACCACTTGCTATGACAAAAGAAAACTGAAGGCCTAACTATCCCATGTCTAGCTTCCAGAAACACTCATGAAAAGCCCTATCTCAAGAGAGGGGTAACTTAGGCCTTCAATTTCATTATCTTCTACCAAAATCTAATCTTCTCATTCTATACTTTCCACACTTAAAAAAATCCCTAGAAACATTGAAACAAGAAATATAAGGTCTCAGTATACCTGTGAAAGCAGTAAAGTTCTAATAATGAATTTATTCTAAATTGTTTACATCCTAAAACACAGACTAATATCTGAAAAGGATACATTATGAACAATGGCATTAGTGGTGCTTAATAAAGCTGCCATAACTTATCACTTGCAGTCATCTACCCATGGAGTAAGGTATTCATTCATCTGTCAAGGATGATATTTCAATTCATTCAACACTGGATTTCATCTGCTATCATAACATCCTGGATTTTTTTACTACATCTTCAGCACTTTCTCCTAAATAAATTGCTATTCTTCAAACAACTGTTTTTTTTCAAACCAGATAGTTATTTAAATTACCAATACATACACATCTTAGTACATTTCTTGTTCTACTCCATTACCCTCAAATTGCATTGCAAATCGACTGCCTAACTGCACTGCATATCTGCCAGCTTTGAAATCACTTCTCACTTAGCACTTTAAGCTCTAAATTAACACCATCTGGACTTCCTTGGCCTAATAAGAAATAATACAAGCTGTGTAATGATGAGAATTGAAGAAAATTTTCAGCTCAAATTCTAACCCTCCTTGTCTATTCCTTCTGGAAGTATTAGTATTTCATAAGCATAAAATCAGAAATCTAAAAATCACCCTCGTGCAGCTGTGTTTTCACCAGTTTTGTATACAAACCACTACTTCATTTTACCTGCCTCAGTGTTCCTATATTTTTCCTGTAACACAACCATGTTATTCTCATTTAGAAAGTATTTCGCCAAGTTATCTTAATGCCATAATGATGCTGTTAGGCACAAATACTGCTTCTTCTAGCAAATATCCTCAAAAATGCAGTTGCTCATGCAAAAAAAAAAAACAACAAAAAAACTAAAAAATAATTGACCAGGCTGGGGTTGGGTATGTTACTGCACAAAACATCACAACACTGCTTAATTTGCCCTCCTGCAGCTGGTTCACAATGATGAAAATGTGCATAATAATTGTGTCTTCCACATAGAGCACCCAGCACAATTGGTAATTGTTTTCAGCTAAAGCCTTTTTGGAACAACGGATTCACAATAGTAAGGCAGACTTAATACAGTATCATTCTGGTGTTCCAAGGCAGAATAACCTACCACAGAATTGTCTTTAAGTTAAAGCTTGATAGAACTTTCATCACTGGCAAAGACACTTGTAACAAACATCAGTACATTTACACTACTAAAGTGAAGCCTCAGACACAAATGACACCTGATATTTTAGGAAGTTAGTATATTAATGCTGCTAATAAAAAAAAGTATACTTTATTTATATATTATGTTCAAATAGGATCCCCAGGTTCTGTGACATGGGAACTATGTTTTACTTTTTTCACACAGTGAATTCACAACACATTCTCAATTCAAGCTGATTGTAAAACCATGGTACTCCTCTATGGACAAATTTTGGATTTATTTTAAATCAGCACATAAAAACGTGTTGTGCCTCACTCATACTCAATAATGAATTTATGAAAGTACTGTAAATATTCTATCAAGATAGTGTAATGATAGAGACTCTGTAATATACTTAAAGTAATTAGCTTTTGGTCATAAATGCATTGGAAAGTTATACAAACAAATATAACCCTTTCCAACTTTGAGAGAAAGAAACTAAATTTGTTTCTAGCAATTAAAATGCTGAGATACTGTGGTAAACTGCAGTCTGTATGTAAAAACAGCTGTAGTAGGTGAAGTCAGTCCATCCAGCGCAGTACCCTGTCTTTGAGTGGCCAAAGCTTTATAAACACAACAAAGGAAAAATACAGAATGGAGCAAGAACGCATGTATTGACATGATCTGCCTTTCCAAGTACTTACTCAGCTTCTAACCATTTGCAAGAAGTGGCTTCCCAAGACAGACATGTTTTTCTGTATGTTTAAATACCTTCACTGACTTACTCTCTATGACCTTGCCCAGCTTCTAAATTTCTAGCCTATGCAAAAAACAAAGTTAATTTTTCCTCTGGCCTTTCCTCTTGGTGGTCACTCAACAATCCCAGAACTTCTAGTAGCCTAACATCAACCCCATGTTTCAGTTAAAACTTCCATCTCCCATGTTCATGTTTTCAACGCAAATAAAAAGATAGTTTGTTTCCAGTAGAAAAACTGTTCTCTAGAATGTATAGAACAGCATACCCAGGGGAAGTCCTATTAATGTAATAACTGCCTCAAGGTTCACTATGGGAGGTGCCTGACAAAGCACAGCATTTCTGATAATTATGTTTGTAGATTCATTATCTCTACCCAGATGCTTCTGCATTTCTCTGCTTCCAGTATTCCAGATTTCAGCAAGGCTCTGCCTTTGGATGATTTACACTCTTCCACCAGCTTCCTGTTTATTGCCAACCCTTTCTTTGCCTTCTCCTTGGTCACACGAAGGTCAGTCCTATTTCTCTGGCCCTTTGGTTTTCCTCTTGCAGAAACCTTGTCCACACCTCTAATTTCTTGGAAGCTCCAGTAAATTTCTCTTTTGCTTTCTTTTCCTTCTCCAAGTTGCAAATGTCAGGAAGTGCTCGAAGGGATGCCTCAGGCACAAATTCTGCAAGGCAAAGACCACACAGTTTGTTGTGCTATCTCTCTCATATGCAAAAGAGGGGAGGGAGCGGAGAGCAGGTTAACCCAGGGTTTTTGATACTGGGATCCTAAAACGGAAGTTTGTTTTCCTATTTAAAAAAATCAATCTGTGCAATAGATATTGCTGGTGGTTGACTGCTGCATAGAATATGGTGGACTAAGTCAACTCTACATTCATGCTGGAGATCAGAAATTTCAACAATGTCAGAGCTCTGTGTCTGGCTAGCTCGGTCAGTTTATCAGAAAACAACCTAGCAAAATTCTGCCAATTTACTGAGCTAATTAGCTCACAAAGAATCAGACAAATTGCATAACAGTTCAGACAGAAAAGATTAAGACAGTACATGCGGTGTAAATGGGTTGGGAGAAAGTAGCAGAAAGCTGAGATCAGTTGGAACAGTTTATAACCCTACAGGTGTTCCTGCTGTTTCAGAATGCAACATGATTAGACAGCAAACGAATTTTTTCTTCATAAAAGCTAAATGGGCGCTTGAAAAATAACACGTTCTTCTAACTCATCCCAAAATGAAATGTTCTCTCTCTACATCTGTTAAAGGCAGAGCCAATCCTTGTAAATTAGCCACACATAGACATGTTTAAAGCTCATACATCACTGACACAGTTTTGCAACACAGCACAGGTATCTTGGGAAAAAATAGTGTTACTGCTTCCCTAGTTTTGCTGTGTGATAAGTTTCCTGCTCTCAGTTTCCTTACTACTGAAAAATGCCTTTTAGACAATCACAGCAATTAACAGAAACATGGATTCTAGAAGAATTTCAAATACTTAGGAATTTCACTACTACTAAAGTTTGTACATTGGAAATTGCTGTTTAATCAAACACAATATGAAATTACTAACAAAACAAAGAGGAATGTTTAAATAATTATTTTGTCTGAACATAAAGTACTGGTGGGTGGAAGATGAACTATTTCCAGATAAATTTGGCAGCCAGTACAAAAACCAAATACACTATGGCCTCTATTCTGAGTACATATTGAAGAAAGATTATGAACACAATGAAGAAAGCCACCAGAGTGTGGCCTGTAGTCAAAGGAAAAAAGATCCTGTTAAAAACTGTTGTTATTACACAGTACAGTAAAAAGATAAACATAACAACACTTACCAGATTCTTCTGCATGCTGCTAGCAGTTAGGGTGTTTTTACAGGCAGTTTAGCTGGCCATGGATCAGCAGAGCTGGATGCCGATGTGGGCCTCCGAGTATCACGAATTCAAGCTTCATGGCAAGTGATCATCCGTCAGAGAGTCCTCATGTATCAGCTGAATCCAAGACCAAGATGAGTCCTATGCTGGTATCCCAAATCAAAATGCTGTCTTGACATGAACAGAGTATTGCTCAAGAACAATCCTGTCTTTTCCTTACTTGCAGGTAATCTTCATATCCTCTGCTTTGATACAGCAAGGTTTCAAGGGGGTACAAGTATATAGCTGTCTCATTATAAAGACATTCTTGAAGAAATCTGCATGCCTGGACTTCAGGATTTCTTGATCTTTGCTTCTTAGCAGGGCTTGAGAACATCCAAACTATTTGCATGGCTCAAAGGTATGACATTATCAGAGCAAAATGTTAAGCCTGATTGCTATGTATACTAGGTCTTGGAACATTTAGAGCAAACAACCAAACCTGGCTGCACACCAAGATTTAAAAGAGGAAGATGACATCCAGTCTCCATGATTCAAGGCCAAGAGACACTTGGTATGGACAACTGCAAAACTCTGTGAGGAAACAGCTGGAAGACTGCCAAAATCACCTAGGGCATAGCTGAAGCAAGAACACTCACATTGTAATGGCCTATATGGAGAAACTGTGGCCTACTACAACAGCTGCAATAAGAATTAAGTCACTGCAGTTATTTACCAGATATACCACACTAGACAACTATTTAGTGCTGATCCACATCTTTTAACTGATAAAAATCCAATTTAAAAAGTAAAACAAAACAAAATCCAACACATGCAAATATGCACAAACAGCCAAAAAAAAAGGAAAATAGCACACCATGAGAATAAAATTAATACTGTGGCTGCAGCGTTGCCTATTTTATTTTGTTCACATCTCTCTTCAAATACTATACCTTCTGACAGAATACTCAAAACAGAAGATCTGCCTTATTTTGCTGCTTATTATTAAAATACAAACATATGTGTTCTCATGCAAGGCATAACGCACATTAAATGTATTTTCTTATTCATACTTAAGTTTGAATGATGTAAGATAAGTACCTTATAATCTTGATCTGGCAGCATGTTGAGTAAGAAAGTCACCATCTTCTGTGGAAACTCATATTTTATTGTCCAAAATAATAATTCTTCTAGAAAACATTTATGCTTCAAAACATCCATGATAGATTGATCTGCATAAAAGTTTGGAGGAGGGGATGTGTAATGTAATATTTATTAAAACTAAAAACAATTATAGTGCAGTTACACTGACATATAAAATTCAGTAACAAAAATTTAACAACATCTTAGTGTGCTCATTTTTTTTTCATAAACACTGGGAAAATTAACATGGCCAACACTACAGTGTCAGACTCTGTAACAATATGGATCTTGCAGAGAAGCCAACGAAAATTTTCAGTACAGTTCTATCACACACAAGTCCAGTCTTCATTAATTGCACTGAATTCTATCACCTTGCTGTAGTAGCTCCACTGATTGTAATGAATCACAGCAGTTTGCCCAACATTTACACAGCCATTTAATTGCAGGTAGGCTAATGCAGACTACTACCTAGCTGAAGTTAAAATAGGAAAACAACAAAATAAAATGTATGATTAAGTGCCGAGTTCTACCACCTAAGGACACTTGCGTTCTGTTTACACAGCTCTAAAGAAGATAAATAGAAGCAATAATGTATCAGTTATTTTTAAATCAATAATGTACTGATTGACCAACCACTAAGTTTTTGTGTGTTTGAATATTTTTTTTCTTAATATAAAAATTACCATAATCAGGCACTAGCTCCTGATGGCACCAAGAGAGACAGTCTCATCTCTCCCCATTCAACTCCTGGCCATTCATTCTGCCCCCTTATTCATGCTGACAGTGCAACTCTGTGGGGTACCTATGCAGGAATCAAGTTCTCCCTCCATTTTGTCAGCTTTGTTTTCAAACAGAGTAGTTTCATGATTGCAAAGCTGCACAAATTGACCTCTGCTAGAATAAACTGTTCATGAAGATATGGCTTGACAGAACATAAATCATATTAATCCCATTTAAAAAAAAATTACTAAAAAGACTCTCCATCAACTTTCTTCAAGAGATTGATTATTTATGATTTAAAACTACAACAGGCATAATCATGCTCCTTTATGCTTAGAAATCAATTAGATCTGGGTATATATCCCCACACACTCAAAATCCCATATTCTAATGGGACTGTATGAAGGCCTCCCATTAGCATAGGTTCAAAAACACTTAAGCTGAATATCTAGTCTTGAAGACTTACCTCTTCACTTAAATATGTAAGACAGCCTTAGGGACTGCACTGGATAGCTTTGTGCCTATTCTAACCTGGATAACCATTTATGCTTTTCCTCAGCAGGATTCCATTTTCCACCACTACCAAAAGTCAGAGTTCCCCAGCCAAGCAACCAATCAACCCAAAACATCTCAGGAATTGCAAAAGATCATGAAAAATAACAAATAATTTAAGTTTCAGAGATCTACTCAAGACTTCAGCAAGCCACACAAACACAAGGATATGTTTTATTCAATACATTCTACAAGTGTTGAAATAATGTTACCTTCCCAGAATCATGAAAGGTATTTTAGTATTAAAATATTTTGTAAAGCATTACACATCACCTAATGTCACAAACATATGATGATAATTTATGTTGCCTTCCTCACATCTTGTTATGAAATTATATATGTGATTTTACTGCCCTTGAAAGCTTGGCAACCATGAAGACTGATGTCCTCAGTCCACAGAATAGACAGCACAGGTTTAGCTACATGTTAAATGCCCCCGAGTGTGAACACTGGGCACAAAGACAAGTGACACAACACCTTATCTGTCACTGTTGTGCACCTTTCTCTGACATGTATCACAGCTGAACAGTGTGTATTAAACTCTTTATAGAGCAGTTTCAAGAAGGGACAAAAGAATCTAACTACTTACACCTGCTACAGAATTTCAGTAGGCAGAATGCTCTTACCCAACTCGGAAAATTTGTCAGGAACACTGAGACTGATGTTCCCACTCTTGTGAAGATCACCACATGATTTTAAATTTCTTTCAATAAATTAAAAAAAAAAAATAGTGCCTGTGGGTTTAAAATTGTCTTGAACAAGAGGTATTTCAGGTGGATGCAGGTTTTAAAACAGAATAAAAATAAAAATTCTCTCAGTACTCAGTCCCCTACCTGTATCAGTGAACCTCAGCACAAAACTTGTATTTTCTATAAAGAAATCTTTGATTCTTTCCTAGTGCCACAATACACCCTATCAACTGCTGTAAACACCTCTCTGGAACATGAGTCTTACCATTTTGAAATATTCCCAGTATATAAATAACCCTCTATACAGACAATACCACTAAAGAGTGGGATGGGACAGGGAGTCTGCTCATATGGAAAAGGTAAATCTGTTTTTATTCAATACTCAGTTTTCTAAAATTTTCTTTTCATACTCTTATTTTATACCCTAATGGACATAAAATATGAATACTGAAAACTTCAGAAAACTATTCAATATTTAATAAAAACAGATACTTACCCTTCCCCCATTGGCAGACTCCCTCCTCTGGGGCTGATATTAGGAGCTATCAACATCAGGAGCATAGTCCATGTTGGGGTGCCTCAGAGGGGGAAGACTACAATCCTGGGGGGAAATGAAATGTTGAATTAAAGTATCACTTTTCCCCAAATGCCACTGCTGATACTGGCTTTCAGATGTGGCAGATTCTCAACCTAAGCTTCCTCCCTGCTTATTTCCAGAGATTACACAGAATTGTCACAGTTGGAAAAGACCTCTAAGATCACTGAGTACAACTGTCCACCCAGGAGAAAAAAAGATCAATGAGGTTTCCCTTCAGCCTCCTCTTCTCCAAACCAAACAAGCTCAGTTCCCTCAGCCTCTCCTCACAGGACCTGTTCTCTAGACCCTTTCACCAGCTTGGCAGCCCTTCTCTGAACATGGTCCAACAACCCAATGTCCTTCTTGTAGTGAGGGGCCCAGAACTGCACACAGTACTTGTTGTGCGGCCCCACCAGTGCCAAGTACAGGGGCACAATCACTTCCCTACTCCAGTTGGCCACATTATTCCTGATGCAGGCAGGATGCTGTTGGCCTTCTTGGCCACCCAGGCACTCTCCCAGCTCATGTTAAGCTGGCTGCCAACCAGCATCCCCAGGTCCTTTTTTGCCCGGCAGCTTTCCAGCTACTCTTCCCCAAGCCTGTAGTGTTGCCTAGGGTTGTTGTGACCAAAATGCAAGACTGGCTCTCAGCCTTGTTGAACACCATGCTATTGGACTCAGCCCATTGATCTAACTTGTCCAGGTCCCTCTGCAGTGCCTTCCTATGCTCGAGCAGTAGGAATAGCAGCAGTACTCCTGCCCAATTTGGTGTTGTCTGCAAACTTACTGAGGGAGCATTCAATCCTCTCATCTAGATTATTAATAAAAATATTGAACAAGACTGGCCCCAAAACTGAGCCCTGGGATACACCACTGGTGACCAGCTGCCAACTGGATCCAACCCCATTCACTACGACTCTCTCAGCTGTAGTGGGCTCAACCATCCAGCCAGTTTTTTACCCAGCAAAGAGTACACCTGTGCGTGCCATGCACTGCCAGCTTCACTAGCAGAATGCTTGGGACATGGTGTTAAAAGCTTTACTGAAGTCTAAATAGACAACATCCACAGCCATTCCCTCATCCACCAGGTGGGTCATCTGGTCACAGAAGGAGATCAGGCTGGTCAAGCAAGACCTGCCCTTCCTGAACCCATGCTGGCTAGGCCTCATCTCCTGGCTGTCCTGCACTTGCCATGGGAGTGCCCTCAAGACAAATCTCTTAAAAATTCTGTATTTTACCAACATTGCTTCCTCACACCTTCCTCATCTGGGCCAACCCTGGGGCTGGGGACCAAGTCCTCAGCCTCATACAGCCATTATTGTTAGGGTCCAGAGATCCACCAAGCCCAGAAGCCTAGGGATACTGGCAATGGACAAGTCATGTCAAGGGGAACATGGCACTGCACCAACATTGCTACCTTCACACCTTTCTCATCTGGGCCACCCCCAGTGCTGATGACAGAAGCCACAGACTCACACATTAGTTGTTATTTATCAGAAAACCAGTATGTTTTTTCTTGCATTACCTTATTCTTAACTTATCTTTTATACAAGCTAACAGCCTCTAAACTTCAAGTTAGAAAGCTTTCCTTGCATGTCTGTAAGTTTCCTGCATTTCTCCAAAGCTACCTCCTCTTCTACATTATTATCTGCCATAATCCTTCACACACCATTTTTAACATCACCTCTTAACAACATAGTTGATAAAACATTTAATTCTCTGCTTTTCCAGCTTCCCAGTCTTTTTCCTACAATCTGCAACTACTAGAAACAATAAATCTTACTTTTCCACACTCCTCACAACACCTTTATACCTTTTTAACAACTTCATTAACTCCTTGCTTTTCAAATTCAAGTTCAAAACCTTCACTCCAAAGCCCCTCCAGAAATTTTAAATTTTATTCCAACTTTCACCATTTTTCACCCAAATGTTCTTTTCGCAGGGCCTTCAATTTCTTTGTCCTTCCTATGTCAGTCTCCTCATACAAAAAAAAAGTGTTCTTTATTTAATAATAAGATTAAATATTATTATTAAAATATGATTAATGAAACACTTTTTAGCACAAAAACATGTCACAGGCAAGGACATGAAAGTGTTACCTTGTCTCGAGCCTGTGGTCATTCTTGAATTAAAGCTTGCACTGATCTCAATGTGAGTGTTGCTCATGTTGGACTAGAAATTGCACAGAGGACTAATTTTGGTCTAGGAAAATAATGAAGGGGTTTCAAAGCAGCCTTTATTTAAGTATCTTCTCTTAAACATTACTAGGACAGTACAGAAAGACCAACCAGAATCAGAGACATTCTTGCCTGGCTGAGAACACAATCACATTGTTCAGTGGCATAATAAAAAAAATATTCAGAACAAACACATCAAAACCTTGTTTGCCAAGCTCCACTGCAACCTTGCCAGCCACCCAGTGAAAACCAAATTAATATTTAGAGGTCAACTTAAAACATGAGGGTAACAAGATGACTGTCCCAGACAGTGGTACTTCCTCAGGGGAAATCAAAATTGCCAATTACCACAATTTCAATTGCTATTATTTTTTAGATTTTGCTATGTTTAATATCTGTCAAACGTAGCACTACAGTGCTTGGTAAGTGAATTAATATCCCTAGATAATTTTTAAGATAGACATAAAGCACATACTGTAAACTGAGATCAGTACTTCATAAATACCTTTGGTGGTGCTGCTTAGTTTCACTCTCTTGCGCTTGCCCACACCTTGGCTACCATCCTGGTCCTCCTGAGGTGGGGGAAGATTTTTAAAAATTGGTAATCATATATTTAGAATTTTATTGCCAAGAGATGGTAAGCCCTCAAAATTCTGGTTTAACTATCAAGCCAAAACAGGTAAGCCCTGAATATACTGCCTTGCCAGAAAAATACTTCTGCAGTTTACAGGAGCAATTGACTCCATGCAACCCATTAGATAAAACATTTTTTTTTTAATTGCTTTTTTTCCCCCTACAGGCAACATCATCATCTGCAAGTTCAGACATCTTAATCCATTTAATTATTAATCCACAACACTATCTCAGGATACATGCATCCTTCAGATTCATGTTTAGCTTAGAAACATCTACTACTGTAGAAGTTAAACTAAACACTGAACTATGCAAAATTTCAAGACATTTAGTTCTCTGTAAAAGCACTGCTTTAGTTTGTAACTTCTGTAAATGTTGTAATCTAGCCTTTCACGTGTGTAACAAATCTGCCTTTAGGACTCACTCAGTAAGAAACAACATTAACCTTTCTAAATTCAGAAAGACAGAAAGAAAATCCAGTTAGAAGTGCACTCTTGCCATATTTCTTAATTAGAACACAGTTTTGGCTTTTGGATGAAAGAACTGGACTTACTTTTCAGCAATTGTTATTTGTTAAGCAGACCATGATTAAGGCAAATATAAAATTAAAAATTAACTTAGGAAATGCCACAAACTGAGGAAGTTGTTTTATTTTAAAAAAATTACACTGTCTTTAATTGCATCCCATGCTGTATCAATGTAATTTTATTAAATACATGAAAATAAAGAAGTGAAAATATATAACTAAAGAACATGTAAAATTTAAGTGTATAGTGTTTTATCTGCATGTTACTTCCTCATTCTTCTTTAAAAAATTCTAAATACATATTTCAAAAAAGTGTCTTCTGCTTTTTTTATGATGTAATTAACATCTTTAAACCAATTCCAGGTATGCATGTGTATGCAGAATTTCAATTTAGAAAAATCACATATGTGGTAATGTAATAAAATACCAGCATATCTACTTATGTCCATTTATATTCTGATCTCCTGGAGATCAGAAAGAGAAATAAGAGGTATCTGTAACTAGCAAGCTGTAGTGCAGTTACTGTAATTCCTCACTTATTTATTCCTAAAATATATTTTCCTTGAAAAAAATGTCTTCTCCTGATAAAAAAAAAAATTCTCCCTAAAATACTTTCTCCACCTTCAGCTTGGACTTCTTTCCTGAAAGAAGTATCAGTGATATCCGATCTCTCTTCAGACTCTTAACAACTTCAGTTTACTCCCCTCTTCTTGTTACTTACGGGGGTAAACCAGAAAGAACATACTGAGCCATTTCAAGTTTATTTGAAAATACTGCTTGAGGTTATTCACATGCACTTGAATTGCCTTCTTCTTTCATGGGCCTTGAAAGTTACACTGTCAGCAGACTTTTGTGTTGTGCTTTTTTCTTGTCTGTCAAGCAAAGGTGAAAACAACAAGCAATACTTTGAAAAATGCCAAATTATAAATAGCACCGCTGAAAGTGTAACACATGCTGTTGTGCTTGTGACAGAGGCAAACACGTCATACAACTGTTTTAGACATACACAAAAAATTGTTTTTACTTCAATACTTGTTCACACAGAAATGAACATCAGCAAAAATCCTATGAAAAACTGTAATTTACATTATTTAGATCTTGTTATACTACCCTATCAAAATAGCTGCTCAGGCTTGCTAGTTGAAACCAATTTTTAAATAGTAGGGCAAAAATTATAAAGTAACCCTACTAGAATTTAACTTTCCTCATTAAATTCCACTTATTTATTACATCTCAAGCTAAAAGGAGATTCCCTCCTCTTCATTCCCACTCAATGCGTTTGGTAAATAATGTCAAGTCTACACATGGAAATTTATCTACAGAGAAATTCTCACTGCTGCTAACACCAGTTCAGCTGGATTCTCAAGTGCCAAAAACCATTCACAGCATCACATGCTTTAAGTTTGCTTTAACCACTCCCAATTTACTTGATTGTGACTTTTGAACTACCTACACAAGTTTCTTCTGTATTACATACATAAATTATGCTGAAATAGTATGAGCAATAATAAGCATTTTTCAAGAGGTCCTCAGTAAATCAAAGGCATGAAATCTATTCCTTTGTATCTCCACTATTTATAATTATTAAAATGGAGAGAACATGTGGTAGATAGAAGAGTCACGGTTTGTGGGATTCGGCTGTAAGCATTCTCTCCCTTTCATATTCCATTCATTATAGTCTTTAAAAACAATCTCACCTCATCTGAAGAATCCCCTTGTCCTGATGTTGTCGTAGCACCTGCTAAACCTTTTGAAATAAAAAAAATTCAGAGATTCCTTTCATAAGTCTTACACTAAAAATAAGAGTATTTTACTATATTTAATGAGCCAGTAGGAAATCAAATACTTCATTAACTTTCTTTAAAAGATACACAACAGTGGACTGAGAAGATGGAGTAGGCTTTCAAAGTAATACAAAATCAGGGATTTGCAAGTACGTTCCATTGCAGGACTTCAACATACTGAGTTAATGGAGATAAGATCTTTCAGAAACTGAAAAAAAAACCTGATGGCCTTCTGTGACCAAAAAAAAAATAATCCACAGCACTTTTGTAAGAATTAGGGCTTAACTTAATTGCAGTGACAAAATTCCACTACGAGCAATTTCATCTTGCCTACTCAAATTCCACTAAAGCTATGACTAGAAAATGATGTTTAGTAGATTATCAATAAAAAGTTTATATGTTTAGCTTTTTTGACAGAATTAAAATGAGCCCTGTAATTTGGTGGTGAACTAAAGAACAGGTAATTCCTAAAGTTTCATTAAGATTTGTATTTTTTAAAAAAATAAAAGAACAGTTTACATAAAAGCTTGCAATAACAAAGTCTTCTCTTACAATATTTTTCTACACAAACCTTGAACTGCTAATGTGCTAGTTCCAGCTCCTTGTTCCTGCATACCACATGCAAGTTTATCCTCAGGAAATGCCAGTCCAGAGCCTTTCAAAGCAATTAGGTACTTTTCATGACTTTTCTTTGCATATGCATTCTCTCCAACACCTTGAATATATACATAAAACAGCATTTAAGAACAACAGCTACATGGTTCATAAACTTCATATTCTAAACAAGTAATGTTTAATTAGCTGTACAATTCTGAGATGTTGCAGCCAGAGTTTTTCCAAATCGTGAACTGAAATTCTAAAGACCAGAAACCTTCTCAGTTCTTCCCCTCCAACACTGTTTTCTTTTAAATGTAATTAATTTATATTTTACCAGCATTGCCACCATTAACAATACAGCCAAAAAAAAAGATTTTTTTATACAGGTTTTGGACAGGAAGGACAGTCTACAACTTCTAACTAATAAAAGATAAACCAATGAAAAAACTAGCAATGGTCATGTACCATAAATAAATCCTAATATTTTGGATCTTTCTTTGAAAGTTCAAATTTTGACAGCTGCAATGGTATTTCACAAAGCAAAGTCATACTGCATGCTCGGGATATAAAATTTTCACAAATTGACTAAGAAAAACCAAATACAATTGTTATATGAGGAAAAAATAAACTTCAGAGGAGTAAATTGTTTCAAGGGTTTAAGAAAAAGAAAACATGAAAAAGATTACAGCATTTTAACTGTACACATTCTGCATTCCAAGTCAGAAGGACAGATTTTGCTCTAGAATCCCTTTGCCTTCCCAGAAACTGTACCTACTCAGACACACGCTCTCCATTCCAGGGCTCCAGATAAGAATGTCTTATTTCCCATTCTCTCTCCACCTTTTTATTTCAGAAATCAATCACATAGAGTAAAAAGGGGTCATTAAATTTCTCCCATGTAAATTTCATTAGATAGGAGAGAAAAAGAGGAAGGAAAATGAATAAAGACAACAGCCCCAGAAACAGCTTTCCTAATTGTTCCTCTCAAATAGAGATCTGGAGATTGCCTGCTCTTCAACTAGCTGCTGCCCAAGCCAGTTATGGCAACTTAAATCTACAGTAATTACTATTTGTTACACACCCATGCAAAGGAAGTATGGAAAGGACTTGAAATAAGACACTTATAATTACAAGAAAATAAGATGGAATGAATTTATACTAAGTGGATTTGGGTTAAGAGTGACAGCCCAACATTTTCAGATGCATTACAACCTGGTATAGGATGGAATGAAAAACTGGGAGGAGGCTTGTTTTTAAGGAAAAAAAAAAAAAGGCTTCACAAAAGTGCAGGACAGGCCACCTGAAGCCCACCCCTCTTCTATCAACAACAAAAAACCCATCCTTAAAACAATGCATTTTTCTAGGGTTTGAGAAGTCAGAAAGACAAGAACTGAAGTGACAAACAAAACTTAAGCCTTTAAATACCTCATAATCTCAAAATTTAATTAGTAGAAATAACACAAACATACCAGAGGTAAGATTTTTGTAGAACTGTTGGCTAGTCAAAACCTGGGTAAGAACTGATCGCATTGCTCCTCCCATTTTAGTCAAGTCTTCTAGAAAAGAAACATGAGGCTCCAAAACTTGGAGGATTTTATGAAGATCTTTCTCTGATGGCAGATCAAGAGCTGAAAACCACACAACAAGAACTTCTGATGTAAACGTATTTGGCCAAGACCTTCACAAAGCTTTAACTACCACAAAATAAATTAATTTCTATATTCAGATGCTCTAAAATTCACATGCACACATTTCAAATTAATTCAGATTTCATTTTCTGGAAGAGCTCAGCACAATTCCAGGTAACATAAAACACAAATTTAAGAATAAAATCACCTACCCAGGAAGTAACTTGGATAGGAAAAGATATACAAAATGCAATTATATAAACTATAAACAGCATTCATAGAACCAATTCACAGAACCTCTTCACAGCCTGCAAAGCAAGAAACAGCAGCATGGTAAGATATGCCAGATACATGCAAATGTAAAACATACCAGGTTCATTATACCCCTCTCTTAAGTGCTGAATAAGACTAAAGATGAACTGTGGAAGAACTAACTCTGACATCATCAACAAGTCTTTTGGGACACATGGAACATTTGAATTTGACTTAATCCGGTGCCTTTTACAAAACCTATAAAACAAATGAGAAAAAATATTAGCCAAGCATAGCTCAGCAGAGTTAACATACACTAAGTAAACCCTTACTTTTTCCATTTTTTCAAAGAATATACACTTTTACATTAAAGGTAGTCTGAATTGGTATTCTGAAATCCCAATTGCTATGTTCAAACCCATTTTTTTTCTGTGTCCAGTGAATTATAAAGATGCCAATTTTTTTCCCCTTCTCAAAGTTCACATATGTAACATCCCAGTTTTTTCCCACACCTGGTAGAAGCACTTTCCATTGAACACTGAATTATTTTTTTAGCAAGACATACCTCCAACTTCTAAACAGCCTAATTGAAAATACTGAAATAAAACTGTTCTCTCCTTTCTGTAAAACAGTAAGAGGCTGGCCTGATTCTTCAAGTCTTAAGATAGTGACTTTACTTTAGAGTCTTCTGAATTAACAAAGACAACTTCCAAAAGCATTATTTGCAGGATCAGTATTTATTTCAAATGTATACCAACTAAGGCTTACTCAAAAAGGGTAAAAAGACCATGCAGAAATTGTGCAAATTGCTTCATCTAAAATAAGAAAAAAAACCCATTTATTCTTTGGAGAATTCCTGTTCAGTAGTAGTTGAGGCTTGGCTAATGCACAGTGACATGAGCTTGAGCCAAACCCCATTACAACAGACAGAATGATTTTCCCACTGACTTAACATGAGCCTGACTCAAGAACAACTGAATACTTTTCAGTTCCAAGTCTAATTTTAGAAAGGACATTTCCCAACATCAAAGAGCTATTTATCCATGTCAAAAAAATAAGCTAACAAGGAATAAAGAGTCTAAAAGCACATCATACTAAATTAAACTTTACTGAAAAGATTCACTAGATTTTACCCGTTAGTTTTCAACATGAAGATTTGGAAATGGATTCAGTATGTTTTAATATGGAAGTTGTTTTCTAAATTTCTTTGTATCTTTACTATATTGGCTATGCCATACTTTCCAAAAGAAGCCTGCTACTTTCTACAACACAAGCCTTTCTTTTTTGAGGACCAGTGGAACCACCTTCAGGCAAAGAAAACACATGAAAACCACAAAGCAAGTATCTGAATTTAGGACAAATACCAATTTAAAACAAAAGGACACAAGACTTGCAGTTACAATGGCACCTTCACAAGAATGGCTAACATCTTCAAAAGACTAAAGACTAAACAATTCTTACATGTTACAGATCACACTTTTTATTAAGAAAAGGTAAATAAGAACAGTACTAGCCAGATGGCCTACAGTTTGTATATACAGCCTATCCATCCCTAGGAGGGGAGAAAAGTGCCTGACAGAAAGAGTTCAGTGATGAATGACAACATTCTGTCAATTAATGCACAAATTTATGGGTTTCACTTTTGAAATTCACTTTTGCAAATTACATACAGAGAAGTATTGAAAAGTAATTAACTTTTTCACTTCCGTCATTCACTTTGTCTCATCCACATACAGAAACCTGAACTACCATAAATCACAAATGTAGCTTGATGTATGTTGCAGTATGGTACCTCACTTACTATCTTTAAGTATTTGGTTTCCCTTTCATCAATATCCTTGTAAAAGGAGATAAAAAGTAAAGGAAAACTTAAAAGATACGCAAGGATAGAATTACTATGCAACGTGTTTTAAAATCTTTTAATGGCTGCATTCAACAAAAAGACATTTTCACTAGCGATGATCACAAGCTAAGGGAGACACATGACAAAATTCTTGTTTTGAATCCCCACTTCTACTAAGCACAAGACTTTCGTCCACAGAAAAAAAGCTCTGCTCTTCAAGTTTATGCCAGTATACCACTTGTGAATCAGTCTATGGATTAATTATCCCAAATTTAACATATCCTTGACTGAAAGTAACGAATCATGTCTTCCCTTGAGACTCTCAAGACAGTACTATTGACTCACTAAGTGTGCTATTATTACTCTCCTGGCCACCCAGCAGATCAGGTAGATACAAAGCTTGATGCAAAGCCAACACCCCCACTTCAAAGAATAATTTATTAAGTTTGCCAGTTACTAGAGCAGCTGAAAAAGGCCTTCAGTAAGAGCCAGACCACACCCTCACAGCTTTAAACATTCGCTCAGCTGTCCTTCCACTGCATCCAACAGTGTCTCAAGTTTCAGTTGCATTTCAGAAACTTGACATAAGTTCATGCATACACAGAGGGACTATTCTTACCCTCACTTTTCTCTCATTATTTATTTTATTCTTGCCTCCCCATGTTTAAAAATAATTTGTTTTCAACTGGATCATAAAGTTGTCAGCACCAGGCATCCCATTTTCACAAGTCTGATAGCACTACTGTGCTCTGAGTACCTGACTCTTGGGGGGTTGGACTAGATGATCTTCAGAGGTCCCTTCCAACTCTGACCACTCTGGGACTCTGCCAGAAGTTTTTAAGGAAAAGAATCTGGAACCCAACTGACAGGACACAAGTGAAAACTACTAGACATCAATTCCTATGCAAATAAAGGAATCCAATATTTGATTCTTCAAATTGGTAACAATGTCATATCTAAACTGAGCTTTTATTTAAGACATTACATGCATTTCAAACTGCATATCACATGACTGACAATGTCATGTGATGTTTCATTAAGTATTCAATCAAAATTAGTAAGTTCTGTAAATAAGAATTCTACACACACTTTAAAGAGTATGCATTTTGTCCCTAATGCAAAACTAACATGTAAACACTATTCTTACTTACACTGAGTGTGCAAAATAGATGCAAGATGCAAAATACCATGAGTGGTACAACTGCCCCTAAGAGTTCTTGTGAACTGATTTTTCATTCTTTACATATTGGTAAAGAGTGTTTAAATATTTTTTCCTGCTTTTGCATTTTGCATATTGAAACAGATCTTAATTCAGAACAAAATATAACTTGCATAATCAGGATTATTAAATTACCTTGATGAAAAAGGGCCTTGATATATTGCAGCCTTGCTTTAGGTAAAAATCCTAAATCCACTGTTCCTAACCAAAAACACATACAGTGGTAACTTTGAAGAAATGAAGAGAAATAAACAAAATATCCCTCTGAAAAATCAGGTTCTGTGTGTTTCTCCCTCCTACCCTACTAATTAAATTTCAATAGTTAAATTCCTTTCACCTGCAAAATAGGATTTCAAAAGTTAATTGATACAGTATTGACTTCAAGGTCTGAGGAAATGACAGCTCTTCTCTTTTATCTGCAAGCCACAGAGGAATGCAGAGATAAAACTGAGACTCTGACAAGAAGCAAAGCCAACTGAAAGGATGTCAGTCTAACCCTGCTAACCAGGAAAGCTCCAAAGTAGAGACACTAGAGTCAATACTGGAGGACAATGAAAACACAGCAGAATTAAAGGCTTCTCAAGAACAAAAACCACAAAACACCTTATAAAGGATCTCTTTCCAGGCTCTAATCCTTGATGACAAAGCTGTTTGGTCAGGTTAGGAGGCTAGAAAACACAGATGAAACTCTCAGAAATTATTCCAATACTCACAGAACAGCAGCAAGAGAGGCAGTGAGTCACCAGAAGCTCCTTTAGTGCTCAGTGCTACACTGAGCACCCTTCAGTGAAGCAAGGTCTCTAGTTCAAAGAAAAAGGAGATGAAGCTCTGCAGGAGAACATTTCTATTATTCTCTGTTAGTCCTCAGACATAAACATCTTTTATAGTAGACAAAACTACAATGAGTTTCATTAGTACACAAGTACCCATTAACAATCAGAAACAGTAGATTTCAGAGTTTCAATTGTGAGACCTTAGAAACACAGGGAGTATGAGAAGGAAAGGACTTCTGAATAGAGCTGAAGCTGAGCCTGTTTAAATTGATCCTCAAAGTTGTTGAATTTGAGCATTTTGATGGACAATAGAGTAACTGGACAGACTAACAATCTTCTACTGCAAAAAGGTTGTCTTTCTAGAAAAGGGGTGGACAGTCTGAGGTATAATTACTGCACTGTAATTGCATCCAAGTATAGCTTACATCCACCTAGTTTGATCAAAAAGTCTCAATTTACACACAATTTAAAATATATTTGTACAATAACAGACATGCAGCTAGTATATTTGCAAATACAACACCCACCCTTTTTGGTGTTGCTTTTTCAAACATCACAGTGATTACAAAGTGAAGCCCTTGCAAAAAAAAAAAAAAAAAAGCCTCAGTGATGCTGCTAAAGATGTTTTAAATAATCTTCATTCATCCATTTGCATGTATTAACATGGTATCTAACCATTTTGTGCAACAGGAACTGCAGTATTTTCCATTGACAAATAGAACAGTACTTCTTAAATGAGCCGTTAATTTAGTATTTCACTGTAATGAAGAAGGCATGACCATAATACTCTTCTAATTCAACTCTAAAAAGCAATCTTCATGAAAGATAACTTTAAAAAAGCCCCAAATAAAAATATTTGCATTCAAAATGCTTTGCTACCATAGAGTTTAAATATACTTTTTTTTTTTTTTCCAACTATAGACCTAAAGACAGAAATTAAGATACAATGTTCTGGATGCTTAATTTAATAATTTTTAGGATCTGATTTTCAGAGTTCTTAGCCTCATATAACATTCACAAAGCAGAATTTCCAGCCGACTTTAGAAGTAGGTCAGTGAGAGCTCTCACCAGAGCCATCTTTGCTTGGCCCTCACTCCTCCCAAACCATTAGTCTGCCTAATCTCCCTGACCAGTTTCAGAGTCCCATCAATTATCTACCTTAAAGCACATAGACAGTATATCTTCAGTTTGAAGAACAAAAAACAAATTTCCAAAATACAACTGTTAGAAATTATTTTTCTCATTAACAAAATTTTCCTAAGAAAGTTTAAAGAGGTCAAGCATCTAAGCAACTGCACAGCGCTAGACAAATGTCAAAACATTTGTTTCTTCAGGATTTCAATATCATGTGAATTTTAATAAAAACTATTAACTTAACCTGAAGATACCACTTTGGTCAGGCCTCCAACAAACAAG